GATTCCCATTCTGACCACTGCCCTCACAGCAGCATTCATACCTACATGAAGAAATACAAAATAAGAGAGAACGTGAGAATACAAAATAATGTGAGAAATTCAAACATGAAAGAGGAGGCTCTACTCAGCATGTTCCCTACAGTGTGCTGTGACCTGACAAGTCGAATTAAGCTGTTCCCCTGAGGTTATGTCTAGCCTAACCCATAGTGATGGGAGGACTGCTGCCTGGAAACCGTTGCTAGGAAACATAGTGCCATCAGAGCCAGAACCCAACTAAAAGGTCAAAAGTGGAAACTCTAGTAGTAGCTGTGTAATACAGAAGTACTTCAAATTCATCCCCTTTCTACTAAATTATTTCTTGTGCATAAAACTATAGGCTGCTCTGGGAAACGTGCAGGAGCATTCAAGAGTAAACAGGTAGTAAACAGGCTACACTTTACACTTGTCTGTTAACTGAGATGTAGGAAGGAAGTCAGACATTGCATCACAGAGCATTACGCCACTGCTATGTTCTCTCTTGAGTTCGCAAAAGAATAAACGACCGACAGGAGATGCGCTTTTGTCTGTTAACTGAGATGTAGGAAGGAAGTCAGACATTGCATCAAAGAGCATTACGCCACTGCTATGTTCTCTCTTGAGTTCGCAAAAGAATAAACGACCGACAGGAGATGCGCTTTTGTCTGTTAACTGAGATGTAGGAAGGAAGTCAGACATTGCATCAAAGAGCATTACGCCACTGCTATGTTCTCTCTTGAGTTCGCAAAAGAATAAACGACCGACAGGAGATGCGCTTTTGTCTGTTAACTGAGATGTAGGAAGGAAGTCAGACATTGCATCAAAGAGCATTACGCCACTGCTATGTTCTCTCTTGAGTTCGCAAAAGAATAAACAACCGACATGAGATGCGCTTTTGAAAAGCGCATTCAGGCATTGAACGGAAAAGATTATCCCGCGGCTTTATAACCCACGCACAGTCGTGAGTGACTGTGCTTGGGATGCCCTCGGTTTTTTTCCACGTGATCACGGCATCATGGCAGTCTTGCTCTAATACTTGCCTGCCATCACGTAGGCCCGCGCACACATTCTTCACCTTGATACATTCATCTTGACACAACTAAGCGCGCAAAGATGCACAGAAAACCAGGTGAGGGAAACACGCAGACAATGCAGCAGCTAGTTCGATCTGAACGAATTGTATTCATTTTCATTCATTACGTCACTGGATGGCAATGCCGATGTAAGAGTAAAATAAAATGTAGGCTATGACATGTTGTAAATGCTTGTAAATATTTAATTCCAGTTGCAAAACTCGCTCGAGCGCACCCATGTCATGACGCTCATCGAGTGCGAGACTCGGATGCAACTTTAATTATTTTAATTATCCATAAACTGTTAAAATTATGTGGTTGAACTCTACAGTTTTAAAACGTGTTCCAAAACTAATCAATTAACATATTTCGGAATCGCTATAAAAGTGGTGATAAAGTAATTTGAGCGTCAGTTTAGAAGCCCGGAACTGCCTCGCCTTTCTCTTTTAACATCTGTTGCACTGGCCCTGTTTAGATGTGTAATTATTAAATCAATAGCTGTAAATGAATCAATCTGCCACTGGGAGCTGCCAGTACATCCTGATCGGTTTGTTAAAGGAAAACTATACCTTGAGCATCTCCGCCACTTGTCAGGACGCCAATGCACTTCCCTGCTCCAGACAGGTTCTCGATGAATTTTTTGGTGTCCGGCATTATTCCACAGATGTCTTTGCAAACAGAGCACTGCCTTTAATTCCCCGGCGAGGTAAGAGCTGGAGAGGATAAAAGGCTCCGCCGATCAACTTCTCCTCCGGTGTCGGACGTGCGCTTCGGCGCCTCGCGCGGTCCGGTAGGCTCACATCGACCGCCCCATACCGGATTGACAGCAGCGTCAGGCAATAGTCTTTCCGATCACTGTCATCTGGACGGATTTAGACCAATTGCCTTCCGATGTTGGAATTAAAGAAGTGACAAGGAAGTCCTACTTTGCTTTCATTAAATTTAGAGTTATTATTCAATTTACATCCAGCCCACTCTAAATGTAACACGATATTCGTCTTGCTGCACATAGAAAAACAGATATCAAGGAAGTTGTTTCATTCACGAAATTAGTGTGAAATTAGTTCATGGTAAATAATAAAACAGACAAAACATGTGTGGCCTATAGTAATAGAATAGCCAAGGCTATCTATAGAACACCTACATAAACTTAACAGGTGAACTTTGGCAACTGGGAGCATGTGTAACTCTTCAGACAGTGGAATTCTTCCTGAAGCCAGGGGCCGTAGCAGCCATTTTAAAAGTGGGGGGAACAGCTGTCAGGTCATGTGATCCTCAACGGCCAAACAAATGTTGTACATAATGTACAAAGCAAGTACATTCATGTTCATATCATAAATTCTATATAGAATACCGATTGCCGTGTTTAGAACACCCTAATGGCAATTTTGGGAACATGCCATGATAGCTTACAGGAAGCAAGACAGCTACAGGGACCTATTTTTGTGATATGCTCAAAAACACTAACTCTAACCCTAATTTAAATATAACAGCAGGACTTGGGACTTTGAGACCACTGTGGACATCTATACTTTATTTTTATGAAATAAAGATATTTTATGCACAATATTTCAGTTACACTACACTTAATAACTTTTATCCTAATTCTTAACAGTTGGGCAAAAAAGTGTCTTTAAAAGCTATTGGAACACACTGCCTTTACCTATACAACCAATTTTATTTAACAATTTGAACATAAAATGACAAAAATATATTAATGTTTAATTCCTTAAACATTGGCAAGTAGTCCCAATTCAAAAAACACTGCCGCTTTCACAACGAAATACACAGCGCCTTCACGACATGGCAGCAGCAACAACAATACTACAGCGAGAACATTTGAGCGGTGTTATGCAAATCTTCCCACATCGTGAAGTAGACATGTGGGGGCGTGTTAGAACGAGCCGTTTTAGGTAGGCGTGGTTGACTCTTAACTTTTATAAAGAATATCTCTTTGGATTTGAGACTTTAGTCTTTGTAACTTTACAGATCTTCTTTATGCACCAAGAGCTTGTAACACTCCAAAGAGAAAGGAAAAATTGAAATCGCATCATATGACCCCTTTAAAATCATTCTCTCTAGCTGTACTTGTTAGCACGTGAACAAACGTCTCTACTTCGTTTCACTTATGTTTATTACTCCCTCTAGTGGTGACGCCAAGCAAAGTGAGTTAAAGGGGAAGGTCATTACAGTTTGAAAAAGGACGTAATCGTCCTCTGCTTTTTTCTGGAGTGCATTTTGATTTTACCCCGGCCCCAAACCGCCCAAAGATCAAAGTGAAATCGCGAGAGCAACAGGAGAATTGAAGCTCATGACAGACACTTAATCAAGACTTCCAGTTGTTTTGTAATCACTCACACTTGAGAAAAAATCTTGCATCATGAACAATCATAGACATAGGTTTTAAATAGGAAGCAGTATATTTAGAACCTTGCAGATTTTATTATGTATTTTTTTTGTAACATCAGTAATCAGTGCAGTGCACAAGACATTTTTTTTTTGCTCTCTAGTAATGGCCTATAATCACCACATTTGATTATTAACCTTTTTTATCCTTGTTTATTAAAGTTATGGATTTGGCACTCGAAAATACTATGGCAAGTTAACAACCCTGAAAAAGTGATACTGGCCAGTACGGGGATCGAACCCGCGACCTTGGCGTTATTAGCACCACGCTTTAACCAACTGAGC